AAATATGTTGGTGATAACTCTGTGATGATCTTAACAGTTGTTTTGTGTGTTATTCTCCACCGGCCTGTAACCCAAGAGACGCACAAAGTGTGCGCATTTTACGCACGTCATGGGACTTTCTTTCCCACTGGCAAACATGAAACCAACCACTTCAGCTTGAATTCCTAAACAGACAAGCGTTGACAGGAATAGACCAATGTAGTGATAGAGGGATGTGAATGTCACATGTTTTCAGTATAATATACACCGCCCTTCTATTTCTATCTCCATCCCTCCGTCAAGTGTCAATTCTGCTCCGCCGCAATCAATCAGTTATTTGTCAGCCGCTGTCAATCCACCGCTTGATTTATGTCAGCTCTTGTGGCTGATTACATGCCAGTGTGACTGGGGGGAAAAAACAAATGGGAGGAGAGGCAGTCTGCAGGAGACACCAAATCACCAAATTTTAAGAGAAATAAATCGATTCTCGATTTAAGATTTAATTTTTAGATGCATCGACAATAGCCGACACCCCCCAGGCCAGACTATGTGGCGAATAGGAAGTGAAAAGGCAGTGGAACAACATTTCCATTCTTTTGCTTATTAAACAAAGTCTGTGACTTTTGGAGTTCTCCATCAGACACCTCGGAGGTGGCACACTTGATGAAACTTTAATAACTTGCAGACAGTCCAGCTCACATGTTCTACAGAATAAGCTGCTATGCTTTACAGGTGCTAACGTGCTCTTGTAAAATCTGATTGTGGTGTTAACATGAGACTCTAAAAAAAAAAAAGCACTGGTGTCATGAAAAAAGTTAAATTTTTAAAAATCCAAACAAAAAAATATCACGTCAAAAATAGAAAAGGGAATAAAAGGGGACAAGTGTATAATGTGCCTTTGCCTATGCTTCAGAAACGAGCGTTTACCAATTTGCAAGAGTAAACGTTCATTCAAAAATGATCATTTCAACCCGCTGAAACATCACGGACCGCCTCTCAAAACAGAACCGTGTCCATTTTGGCTGGACGCATCTGCTATTGTGTTGTTAAAACCTGTCATCTGCCTCAGGCGCACTGTCATCTGCAACAGAAATAACAAAAAAACACGGGACAAAAGAGAAATCTAGACATTTTATATTGATGTCAGCTCGATTTTATTTACATACAATGAAAATGATTTATTTTCTTTAAGAGGCAGAAAAGAGGACTGGGAGAAAGAAAAGAAGAGAAATGGTCTGTCAGGCCGTTGAGAAAGAACTTTAAAATGCCTTGAACTATTCACCGCTTAGATGGCTAATCAGTACTGAGGCTCCAGGGCGATCGGGCAACTTTTCAATGCAGTTTTCCTTTCATCTCAATCGGAATGGAGGCGCTCAATTAAAAGCCTATCAGTTTGTGAGTAAATCAACGCCTATCAAAGTTGTCACATCAAACAAACGATTACTATTGCAACCCGCCTCTGCCATTAATCTCTCTCTGTGGTAATCTGTTTAACAGGTCAAATTGGAGAGCATGGAAACCTGGAGTGGACAGTCAAGAGGGCAAAAATATGTGTTCATGGAAAAATCTAACGAGCAAGGTGCTGACGCAAATACAATTTGGGATGATTTAAGTGCAATAAAACACATTTTATCCACATGGTAAAATGCAGAACCTACTGCAACAGTTTACAAATATAACTTGCTAATAGCAAGAGTAAAAAAAAGCTGTTTTTAAGTACTTGAACAAATAGTTTTAGTTTCAGGCCTGGATGCTTGGTAAACAGTGTATGGATAAGTAACAACAAGATATAATTCTCCTCTCGTCACTATAAATAGGCCTACATGAGTCTTGATTTTGAGATAATGCTTCATATCAGCATTTTCAAAATAGGCCAGCGGTTTTTATCAGGATAATGTGAGAGTCTGTGGGAAGGGGGGGGAAAGTCCAAATGAGCGCAGCACTATTACTCCAAACGCTTTCAGTGTTTTTCTCTGGCAGAAGGGGGGGGGGAACGTTTCACAATATGCAAAGATGCGTGATTGATAACAGGCTTGCTGTTTTCTGCAAGGGCTGTCAGTCCGTGACACAATATGTGAGTTATTAGGGCAAAGAAGGGCAACCATAAATTTTCACTGTCAGGCGAAAACCCTCTTTA